ACGTAAGAGCCCTGATGGGCATGGTATCTCCAAAAGCCCCCTTTTCTTAATTATTTCTGAGACAGTTATAATTTATAACTGGGAGAGATTTATCTGTCGGCCGGTGGAAATTTACATTCAGTGCATGAGCTGATTTCTGGCTTCAAGAAGAAGGGAATGGAAGTTGATCATTAAAGGGCTGAAGGCAGAACAAGAAGCATCCTTTAATGGTTTCAGTCAAGAAAGTTTCATATCAACATGGGAGTTCTGTGTGCTAAGAAATTTTATTTTATTTTATTTTTGTTTTGTTTGCTTGATGAAAGTGTTGCTTAGAAATCCAACTCTGCCACTCACAATGAGAAAGGAATGTGTTAATGAGACTCACAATGAGAAAGGAATCTTTTAAAATTAAAGATATAATGCTGTGACGATCTAAAGGCAGTGATGGGAGATGTAATGAGACTGAACTGTTAATAAGAACGACAACATTCTATAGGGCAAGTATATCGTTGGACATTCCACTCTCTGTTGGTATCCTTCAGCAAATGTTTGATGAGCAAATAAAATAGATTGAATCAAAGTTAGATCTAATGGAGAATGAAAGTAAACCAGAGACAAATGAACTGAAAAGTGGAATCAGAGATTATACAGAGGCTCTGGAGAATAATATGGATAAAGGACGGGCAGAACCAGAGAGCGAAAAGTGCAGAGTTGGAAGGAACAGATGGTGAAATGGAAAAGTCATTCACACAGATGTTTGGAAAAATGAAACAGCCAAATGGTGGGGTTGTGATTCTGGAGGAGTGGATTGAATTGGGGAGATGGCACCGATAGCACTGAGAGAGAAAGGGCGCTGTGTACAACTTGGAGTGAATTCAGAGGAAAAAGCTATGAAATCTCTGGCTCTTTTCTTGGAAAAAGAATGGAAGAAGTGTAAATGGAAGAGATAATTTATTAGAGAAGGATGGAAAACCATGGCAAACACAACAGCAAATGGAAATGGAAGATACAGAACTGGGTGAGAAGTAATGGCTACATAATAAGCAAAGAACTATGGAATACTATCTCAATATAAGATCACAGTGTAGAGAGACTTATATGGATGAAAATGGAAGGGTTGATTATTTTTTAATATGGAGGAATGGCTGCTGGAGTTATAGGAGGCAAAGTTGATTAGAAGTTTGATTAGAGGAAAAGTTTGATTAGAGGAAAAACCATTGCTGACATTTATTAATAACAATCATTAGAGAACCCCTTTTGGACTTTTTGTGTGAAGAAGGAAATGAACATATTTGAGACTTCTGGATCTGAAGATTGGGAAAATGTTCTACGTTCTGTTAAGCAATATTTGGATGTCATCCTAGAGTGATTTTTTTGAATAATTATTTAAATGTAACAGAGATGGAAAACCGGAAGGCCATTTTATTTTATTTTATTCCTTCTCTTCTCTTCTCTTCTCTTCTCTTCTCTTCTCTTCTCTTTCCTTCTTCTTTTTTCCTTCTTCTCTTTCTTTTTTCTTTGGTGTCCTCTGCCTTTATTTGGGTTCCAAGGATTACATGCACAAGAAGGTGGTGGGTGGAAGGACCCTGAGTGAGAGGCAGGGAAGGGAAGGGAAGATCTCCCAGGTGAGAGACTGGAAGGGTCCACCACTTTCTGTGTGTGACAGGGGTTAAGCTTTAATAAAATCTTATGGGGGAAAACATACAGATGATTGGGATTTTGTGCGTGCACACACACACACACACACACACACACACAACTAATGACAGTCTGCAGTTATGTAATTCACATTCAGAAAAATATACTTACTTCAACGTTGTGGAAATCCCTATATTTCCATTACTAACTCTATAAATATTGGGCACTTAAGAGAAATCTTGATAGCTGCATCGTGTGGAGAGAAATTGTGTGTGTGTGTATATACCATTGAAAGAATGTGCCTGAAGTGGCTGTGTATGCACAAAATGCAACTGAAAATGAACACAGTTCAACACCTAATTGGTCATATGGAATAAAGCTCAGAAAGTGTTCAGAAAAACTGTCCAAAGGAAAGAGCAGTGCCTTCCGCCCCCACAGATCCACCCACAGTCAATTTCCTAGTCAAAGATTTGTGTGGGCTGCTGCTGCTGCTGGATGGATTTGATTTTCGAGTCTACTCTAAAACCTATATAAAAAAAAGAAAAATCGCCCATAAAGGGCAGAGCATCTAGAGACAGCAACTGTATATACTGAAAAAGCTGGAGTTCCTATAATTCATGAAACAAAGCACGACTTACTTAACTAAACCTGGGTATCAGTATACCTATTTGGGAGAATGAATGATAAGGTAAATACTAGCTATTGCATTACTGTCCTTTCTGCCTTGGGGGCAGGTGGGCTGAGGGTTTTTTGGCTCTTTGTGTGAGAAGAGCCATCACTGCTCCCATTCTTAGGACAAGGACAGAAGCTTCAAGAGAGTCGTGCATTTTATTATTTTTGTTGCATCCAGCCTTCGGCTAAAGCTTCCCAAATGGCTTGCCCATGGTCATCTAGAAATGTGTGTTTCGTATAGCCCACCTTCCACCAGATCCTTTTTTCTGCTACTCTGCTCAAACATACAAAACCTTCACCCAATCCACAGATTTCACATCCAGGCTTGCTACTTCTCTTTTTTCACTAGTCTGTAATCGAATGCATGGAAGCCAGAGCAGGATTGTGCATACTATAGCTACCCACAACCTTGCCCCTCCATCAGCTCCGTGTGCACAGAGGTTCTATATATGTGTATATAAATGATGCTTACAAGCAGAGCATGTTTTCACTCATTCGCTGCATATGGTTTCAGAATGTGTGAAGGGGATTTCTCACACCTACATACAGCTTCCTGCTCCCTCACCACAGAAACCCTTCTCTCCCTCCTCTCACCTCTCTCACACAAAATACAATATTTCACACAAGGGCTATTATACTCCCATTTACTCTTCATCCAGTGCATGCCCACCATTGGTTCGGGAAGCAGTGTGCACACAACATTAGGCAAAATCTGCATCCACCACACAGCATTGCTTCCTATTAAATACTGCATTATGATGCATTATCCACCCCCCCCAAAAAACGAGCTTTAATCTGAATTGAAAAAAGAATGACCTTGCTGCATTTTAACCCAGTGCACAGCCATATAATGACAACAAGCACTCCCATGGCACCACTGTGGCTTTCTTTGTAGTAATTGAGGATAGTTATTACCTATTGATGGTTCAGCTGATAGAGCATGAGGTGCTCAGGGTCATGGTTTGGAGTCCCACACTGGGCAAAAATATTCCTGTATTGCGAGGGGTGGACTAGATGAACCTTGTGGTCCCTTACAACTCTATAGTTTGGTGATTGTGTGAAGATTCCATTCTCTGTCAGCTTCTGCCCTTTCCCCCGTCTCGCAGACATTTTTGCCTGGATGTGCTCTCATTAGCCTATCAAGATATCAAAAGCAGAATTCCCTATTATTTCTCCTAAACCTTCCTGATATTGCTTGCCTATCTCTCCACACCTGTCTCTGCACAACCGTGGAAAACAGGGAGGATATTTAGATTCAGGTGGATCTGGAGAATTTACTGCTCTGATTTGCTCAAAAACAAAGCTGTGCCGCACAATGCGATATGAGACAAACCTGAATATGATTCAGGGATAGTTAATTGGCAGGCACCTGTTTCAAGTAGAGAGCTCCAACTTTCAGAGTAAATGTAGGCTGGTGATTTTGGGAGAAGAAACTAGACAATGTACACATAATTTACTCCTTTGAAATTCTGAATGTTTAAAACCATTATGAACTGGAGGAGGCATCCAGCATTTTCACCCCCAAACCAGTTCATTAATAGGAGCTGAAGTCTTGCCCAATAGCACAGATACTTGAAGAAGCTGTGAAAGTTGCAAAATCTGGAGTCTGCAAGTTTTTAAAAATCAAGTTGATAGTTCCTTGTGGCTGCAAAAAATGTTATGGACCACAAAGTATTTACTAGAGTGTGAGTCAACAGGAGACTTTCAACAGGACTTCCAGAAGTGTGGGTGGTGGAGGCTAGAAAGCAACCCTATATCCTCTTTCCTTCCCCAATGTTTTTGATGTTCCCCTCACCTTATGCACTTGTATCTTCCTTTTCTTCTCTTCCCTCGAACATGACGTTCTTTTATCTCCTCCATAACCACAGTCCTTCACAAAAGATGCTGATTTCTGTGAAACCATTCATACGTGCAAATAAAGCAAATACATATTAATCTGCATGTATATAAGAGGACTGTAAATGGATTCTCTTTATTTCAGACTTTGGGCTGGGCTGGGGAGTTACAAAGAAAGTATATTTATTCTCTGAATATTTGTGTTTTCTTTCTTTCATTCTCTAAAGGAGTCTGAGAAAACTTTCAAATTCACATAATAGAAATCCTGTAAACATAAATGAATAAGATAAAATAACACCATCCTAGTCAACATAAATAAAAGAAGAATCATTCCTGTTAAGGATGCACTGAAATATATATTTAAAAATATAAAAAAGGCTGAAAGATAGGGCTTTAGCATCTGTTGTTTGAAAAGTAACTGCTAAAGATATCAAATGGATAGGTGGGATTTTTTTTTCCAGACTTCCAAGATCCCCAGATATCAGGGGGATATCATCTGAGGGATGCAAAAGGGGAAAGGGAAAGGAAGCTGGTATGTCAATCACACCAGCAAATCACCAGCAGTGTGCATGCTTTAATCCATTAATGGGGGATTTATCTGTGATCATAAAAGCAGGTTAGTCAGCCTGGAAGCGTGTAGGTGGGAGGGGGAGAGAGCGAGCGTGGAGAGAGCAAGAGAGAGACAGAGGAAAAGAGGTAAAGAGAATAAATACACTGGTTGAATTGCTGGGAAGCTTTAGGACCAATAATCAGGGATCTCAGACGAACTGCTCCTGTGAACATCCTGCTTTCTGTAGAAGGAGACTGTGGCTTGGTGCTGCTGAGATACATATTTTTTAAAACCCTCCTCATAGTTTGATAGGCATTCCCAATGCTTTTTGTGCATGTCTCTAAAAAGCGTTGACGTGGAAAGAAGCAGCAGCAGTAGCAGTAGCAGTAGCAGCAGCAGCAGAGAGGGAAAAACTGCAGCTCTTCTAAAAATACTGAGGGCATGCAGGAGTGTGAGCAGGCTGGGGAGGAGGAGGAGGGTGTGAGAGTGCCTCACACCATGTTTTCTGGATGCCAGCTGGGTGCAGTTTTGGAAATGTTCCTCCTGTGAATGGAGGCACCATGAACATTTGGGAAGTGATCCTGGCTTTCTTGATTGTGGTACTCATCCTTGTCTCACTGCTGTCCAACGTGCTGGTGCTGATCTGCTTTCTGTACAGCGCAGATATCCGCAAGCAAGTCCCAGGATTGTTTATCCTCAACCTGACCTTCTGCAACTTGTTGATGACTGTTTTGAACATGCCCCTGACCCTGGCTGGGATCATTTACAAGAAGCCGCCTGGAGGAGACCAGCTCTGCCACATCGTGGGTTTTTTAGAGACTTTCTTGACCACCAGCTCCATGCTGAGCATGGCAGCTCTAAGCATAGACAGGTGGATAGCGGTGGTGTTTCCTCTCAACTACCATTCCAAGATGCGTTACAAAGATGCTGCTCTCATACTGAGCTATACATGGTTGCATTCAGTGTCTTTTCCTATAGTGGCAACTTCTCTTTCTTGGGTGGGTTTCCATCACCTTTATGCCTCCTGCACCCTCTACAACAAGAAACTGGAGGACAGGACACAGTTTGTGGTTTTCACAGGGGTCTTTCATTCTCTCAGCTTCCTCCTCTCCCTCGTAGTCTTGTGTTTCACATATCTAAAAGTGCTGAAGGTGGCACGCTTTCACTGTAAAAGGATTGACGTGATCACTATGCAGACCCTCGTGCTGCTGGTGGACATCCATCCCAGGTAAGGAGATACCTGTGTCCTTGACTGCCAAGGGCACACACTTCTGAGGATACCTGCGGAGAGGCAAGATTATGTTTATTATCAGACTCAATTGCCATCCATCTGTAATTATTTTTTTTTTAATGTAGCACTTGCCTAATTCTAATCTGCATGCTTATATTCTCAGGTCTCCTTGTAGCTACAAAATTAATTGCCAATTATATCCTGCAAAGAGCAAAATATGTCATCTAGGAATCCTTGGCTGTGTTTGAGGGCTATAGTGGAATCAAAAGGTTTGCATGTGCATACATGTCCTTTCAGGTAGTGTGCTTGAATCTTTGCTGTTTTCACTTACCATGAACAGATTCATCATGCCTGTTCATTAAAGTTAATCAGTAACGTCCATGGGTGTTTGATGAACTGGTTCAGGCTGAAATTCCTTGTGTTCCTTAAAACTGCAGTGGGGAGATAGCACACTGAATACCATTCTGCTTTCTGTGACTTTGTGAATGTCACTTTGGAGTCAATAACTTTATTTTCCTTGAAGGAAGGATGCCCAGAGAAATAATATTTCCAAAAGAAGCATGAGCAACCAACTAGGTACAAATACATCCAAAATAGCATTGAGATTCAAATTAGTACTGACAAGCAAAGGAGACTTGAGACTTGTTCGAGAGACCTTAAATCAACCCATATTTTCTAGGTATGGGAGTCTCAAGACAAGGGAGGGGAGAGGAAGCAAGCAATGACTAGGATGGGGAGGGATAACTAGGGGGAGGTACAAAAGGGAATGTCACAGAGAATGAAGAAGAAATATAACCAGGGGATCTTTGTAGTGGAGGTTCAGATATCAGATGTGAGAAGATTTGACAGGTGGAATGTCATCTGACTGACTTTGCTAGAGTAGATTTTGCTTGTGGGAGATGAAGGTACAATGAGTTTGTTGAGATTTTCAGTTGGGGGAGAAAAAAGAAGGGAGAAGTGTAACCAAGTATGTGACAGGGAGAAAAAAGGATTCTGCATGGATGTGGGGGGTGGGGGGGAAACCTCACCGGAAGAATATAGGAAAGAGAGATGGGTTTAATGAAGGTCCCAGCTACGCAGCTACTCATAATTTTTTCTCTCTGTCTCCCCCACCCCTCTCTGTATCTATACATTGATGAGGCAATAGTAATGCGGTGTGGTGGCTTCCTAAAAAGGCTGAGTTAAATTTCGATCATTTAGAACCTGTGGAAGACAGGAACAAAGTAATGTAGCTGCCTATCTTTCCCCTTCACTGTGAGTAATAGCAGCTGGTCAAGGGAGAGGAGGCGGGGAGGCAAGGACTTGATGGGAATATATATAATTTTGCATGCTATTTTCTTTTCTTTTTATTTCATAAAATTTGCATACCACTTGATTGTACAAAAAAAAAACCCTCAAAGCAGTGCGCAACAAGTTGAAACAATGAAACTATCACTAAAGAAGAATACAGCCATAATTTGAAGCATACAGAAAGTTGAAACCAGAATACAGTAGTCTATTTTTTTTAAAAAAAATAAGCTCATACAAACTTTTGAAACATCTGAATAAGCTTGCTTAAATAAGAATTTCTTCAGCAGGCGTTGAAAAGTATAGAGTGAAGGTATAGAGAAAGTGAATAGAGATAAGTATTTATCCTTATTTCATCATACTAGAATTCAGAGTCATCCACTGAACAAGAATTATGGGAGATTTGGCATGGGCAGATGGAAGTACTTCTTCAACTAGCACATGGTTAAACTATCACATGAAGTAGGCAAGTCCACTAACTTAGATTTGCTTTAAAGGGGGATTCAGCAAATTGTTGGAGGATAAAGCTACCAAGGGCTACTAGTCGTCATGGCTATATTATCATGTCTCTGGATACCAGGAGCTGGTAATCAGGAGTGCGCAGAGAGCAACTGTGCTCATTTTCAACTTTGGGCTACTGAAGGGCATCTGGTTGGCACCTGTAAGAAACAGAATGCTGAACCAGAGAGGCTTTTGATCTGAGCTAGCAGGATTCTTCATGTTCATATATAAAAATAATATTAATAATGGAATCAGTGTGGTCTCAAGAAAGGAAAAAAAAGGAAAAAAGTGCACAGTCAGATGAAAGAAATAGAAGGTAATAGTAGTCACATAACACTTTAGAGCTCAAAAGTCTTCAAAACATTACTTCATAACCTTAATATCAGCCTAGTAAGGCAGACCAGCATAATCACCCCTATATCCCCTGGTTGCATGGCAGTGGTTTACCTAAGTCTGTGTACAGTGGTACCTCTGTTAAGAACTTAATTTGTTCTGGAGGTCTGTTCTTAACCTGAAACCATTCTTAACCTGAGGTACCACTTTAGCTAATGGGGCCTCCCGCTGCCGTTGCGCCGCCGCCGCACAATTTCTGTTCTCATCCTGAGGTAAAGTTCTCAACCCGGGGTACTACTTCCAGGTTAGCATAGTCTGTAAACTGAAGCGTCTGTAACCCGAGCTGTCTGTAACCTGAGGTACCACTGTAGTGAGTTTGTGACAGAGATGAGATGCAAACTGGGAGTTGCTTTATCCATATCCCAATATCTTATGGCCCATCTATGCATGGCATTGCAGACCAGTGAATGGATTCAAATTTACTTGGAAATAGCTGTGGGGGCTTAAAAGGGCAGAGGTGAGATACGAACGCTGTAGCACAGCAGGGGGTAGTTGTATCCATCCCTTCAGGGTCATTTCTCCAGTTTAAATCACTATTAGCCTCACTGAGGGAGAGGGAATGAAAGCTACAAATTAATGTGAGCACCTGTCTTCACTGTGGCTAAAAGCAGTTGCCAATTTAAATCAGGACAATAGCATGTTTCAACTAACCATAGGACAAACTGCAATTTGCCTGGATTCAGAAATAGCACATAGGTGCAGCTAGTCTAAAGTAGAAGTGTAAGCTTCTAAATCCGCTCCCTCTGGCTGCACTAGAGGAAGAGAGGAGCTTATTTTTTAGTAAATGCATATCAGATTGTACTTTTTAAAGAGCTGATATTGAATATATATCAAATACATTCACTGATATTTGACATATATTTCATTTAGCTTGAAAATAAAACTGGGTGTTCTGTGACCAGTCAGTATCAAAACAGCAAATGGATAGAGCAAAGTGATAAATAATCAAGTCTCTGAAAAACCAAATCATTCCTTATGCTAATTTCCTAGTGGATCTTATTTTACATGGATAATGGGAGTTTATTTTTGAAGTGTAGCATTCAGCTCAAAGTGTGACTTCTGGTAACCATGGTTAATTCCAGGTGTTATAAATTTTATATTCCTTCTCTTGTTAATATGGGAGGCTAATATGCACTATATCACCGTAAATGTCCTTAATTATAGTCTTTCTGTAATACCAGACTCCCTGCATACCACCTAAGGTAAGTTGTAAATCCTTCCCAAAAGTCGTTTTTATAAAGGAAACATTGACCAAATTTGTGCAGCCAGAATGAATGATGTTATGCCAGATGTCAGGATATGTCTCCCCCTGCCCCGCCTCCAGAATTGGTTGTACATCATGGTGCAAAGTCATTTACAAGCCTTTTGTTTAGGGCTATGCAACAACCGGCAGTTGAGCAATGTTAAGTAGGAAGATGCCTTATGGTGCCTTAAATTGGAATGGTCAAAGGAGTTCCGTTCAGTATGACTGGGAGGCATATGGAAGGACTCAGGCAGATCTAGGTTCACTCAGCACTTCTGTCTCCCACTCTTTGGTTTATGATCAGAGGGAAATGGAAGAAAACTGATCCTTCTGACTTTCCAAACTCAGATCTCTCTCACTTGTAGCTTTGCAGCTAAGCTTGACGGCATCACCCTATCAAAAACTCCTATATCAACCCTTTCCAGCCTAGTGCCCATCAGACATTAGGGACTACAACTCCCATCATCCCTGCCCAGTGGCCACGCTGGTTGGGGCTGATGGGTGTTGGAGCCCAAAACATATAGAAGGCACCAGATGAGTGAAGCCTTACTTATGGTCTTCCTCAGCCATAGCATGGGGTCTTTAGTGATCACATTAAAGATAAGCAGGTTAGTTGTCCTCTGAATGCATGACTCCATAGCCCACGCTGCATAAAAGTCAACTAAGCCACAGTGCTCATCAGTGTGTATCTGCCCACCTGCACAAGTCTTAGATGATTATGCCCTTATTTTTGCTTTTCTTCAACCAAGCTAGCAAGTTTGGACAGGTGGGGTTTAAATGGACTTGGGTTGTCTCCAGTGCTTTTTTTTTTCTTTTTTAAAAAAGTTTAGGGGTACTCTCATTTTCCTACTCATATTGAAATATTGCCCCTCAATGAGGCCAAACTTAGATTCGCAAAAAGTTTAGGGGTATGTGTACCCCCAGAAAAAGCACTAGTTGTCTTCACCTTCCAGCCCCCCCCCACGTAATGAAGCTTAAATCAAAGCTGATCAGTAGGACTAACCTTTTTTGTTATGTGGTGGCATAAATGCCATTGAAATCCATATGTTTTTCATCACCAATCATATTTCACAGCATTTCCGTGCCTCTTAGGCACATTTTCGGTCCACACCTCGAAGGGAAGTGAGAACAAAGTATATAAATGAGATAACTGAGAAATAAAAAAACCCTTATGGATTTAGGTTTTGCAAAGGTTGGATTGGATCATTGACATTTTGCAGTATAATGCAGACTTCCTTCTCCATATGATTTGGGAGGCGTTCAATAACACTATCTAAAGTTTGTTCAAACGGGAGCTTTGATTTCACAGGAACATGCAGACACAGAACTGTATAGACAGCTAATTATAAGGATTATACATAAGGAACACCATGAATTCAGATAAACATGGTTTTGAACAGTAGAAGTTCTGCGGTATTTAAATAAAGCAATAGTTTGAATCTATTAGATTTGCATCTGAGCAAAATCTGACGGTGTGGAGAAGCCCACTTGTGAGGGTCCTCCATGAGTGGTGGGCATCTACTTCCCATGGAATTTGTTTCCATCTGGTCTTTTACACACACACACACACACA